TGAAAACCAGTAGAAAGTTTTTAGTTAACCTGATTAAATACAAGAGAAAGTAAGATTAAACATTGTTCAAATGTTTGCGATTTTGGAATTTAGACTATAATTCTGGCCACACACACACAAATACTCTCTCTCTCCCTACACTTTCTTTTGTTTTTTCTTTTTGTTCTTTCTTTTTATGCATTTGTAAGTTATCATTTCTCTTTCAGATATGAAACGCAGCACAGAATCAGCATGAATAATTAAGAAGACACCATTGGTGATACGAGTGATTTAACAAAACGCTGATAATGGAAGCTGGATTCAGTTTGAAATAACGAACGAAAACAAACGTTTCTATCATTTTGCCTTCTTCATTAGCTTCTACTTGATAAGACGGTGTGTGTTGGTCATAACTGTCGCTAAGATTTAGAGACACATTAAGTCGTCACCAGTGCATCCACATTTAGGTGGCCATATAAACTATTAGAGATGGATCCTAATTAGTGTTTGGGGGAACTACTCGCCATTACCAAGATGTTCCAACATTTCACCATGCATGTAACGAATTTTTTTACGGCTTATCAGCCTTGTGTGAGTTATTTAATGCCGAAACACTTTCGGTCTGCAGGTCCCCCGCCATCTGACCGGACACGACAAAAGCAGTGGCGATAAAAAATAACATTTAAAACTACTTAGTAAAAATTAAGCAAATTAATTGGGAGCAGGACAGGTGACTCGTCTCTTCACTGTAGATACATCAAAACCGAACAATATTTAAAAATATGAAAATGTAATCGCTTAGAAACTAGAAAGAAATTCAGCTCAAATTTTGGGGGATACATTAAGAGGAAAGAATGCATGGAGAATTTAACACTCCCAGGATTCATCGAAGTTAACAAAAGTATAAAAAAAAGTAGTTATTAACCTATTTGAGGAACACGTATCGCAAAAACAAAGAGAGGTTATAAAGGAACAAATACTGCCAAAAGCAAGACAGGAAAATGTGGAGAGCCACGATCAACCAAAGGAAATAACACAGAAATAAATAAAGGGAGAGAGAGAGAGAGAATGCAAACATCCAAAAATGGTTGATGCAGGCGATAGTTCTGGCTTCTTTACAGCTGACCCATTTTCATGAAATTCAGTCAGCTTGAACTATTTATTTATTTATTTACTTGTTTATTTATTTTTGTTGAACGAAAAAAAAAGTTCCCTCTCTTCCCTGGGGCTGGAGACACTTTTTTCTTTTTTCTTTTTTTGTATTTTTTTGGTTTTTTTTTTTCTTTTTTTGAATTGAAGTAGTAAAGGGCAGAGACAAAGATGTCAGTGATAGCAGGTGGCATGGAGCAGTTTCTTTAACTTCTCCCCAGCAAGTTACAGCAAAATAGAATTTGAAGAAACATAATAAAAATGCGTCCTCGAAGGCTTGGATTTCACTTTTCTAATATCTGCCATCTTGTTAATATTAGTGTTGTTTTGGTGTTCATTATGACTTTATTTCAAACCATGGGTATTCCTTCATTTTTTTTTAATCCATTCATTCAATTTGTCTTTATAATTACTTCTCTTTTTATTTTAGTAAAATTATAATTATTTATAAATACAGGCAAATTTGGCTGCCTTTTTCTCATCACAAATATGTGCTTGGCCATGTGCATGGTTGTGTATATGTGATAATTTCTGTGAATTTGTATCTGTATAGTGTGTCTATGTGTGTGCGCGCACTTTTTTTAGTCCATTCTCTGTGCACATTTGCAAGTTAGTGTGCACATTTGCAAGTGCGTGCACATATACTAGCGAAGATGGTGTATTGCATGAGTAACGGAAAGCGAGAATATTTCTGTGAGTTTTACAATAAAAAAAGAAGAAAAAAGTCGGATTGTGTGCAGATCACACTCATCTACACCATGTCAGATTTTTATTACGCAAGTCAATAAAAACAATGTTAAGTTTTCAGAATATACTTGTATTTATACGTGCAATCTCTCGTGAGAGTTTCAGTTTTAATATTTGTCATTATATATATATATATATATATATATATATATATATATATATATATATATATATATATATATATATATACATGTCATGAGTTGGAATCATATTTTTAAATAAATAATTATATTTATGCTCTACTTTTGTATCGAGCACTATTTTTAAAAATAATAACAAAAATACTAAGGAACTTTGGATTATTTACCTAACCAGTTCTTTCCTATTTTCTATATATTTTCACACACACACACACACACACACACATATATATATATATATATATATATATATATATATATATATATATATATATAGGTATGGGTATGATAAAAAATATACATATACACATATATATTTGCACGTATATTCCTCAGGTGTTATAAATACAGTGCCCAATATTACGTAACAGAGCTATTAAGTATATATTAGTCAATATACATAATATTCAACGTCGATAGCACGACCTGAAGTTTGCATGATCGCATGAAACTCCGAGTCGTTCTTTTGACGTTGGATATTATATATATTCACTAATATATATTCATCCCCTGCTGATTTTCTAAAATATGTCTTAAAAATTTGAAAATATTTATAGAAATAATTATATCTATTACCAAATAATTTCTAAAACACTCAATAAATCTTAAAATTATCTGATATTTTATGATTTAAAAAATAACGTTTTTTTTCTTTTCTTTTCTTTTCTTTTCTTTTCTTTTCTTATTTGCAGCTTTATGATTTTATTGTTCAACCCAGGGTAGGGTTTGTTCAAATTGAAGGAGAGGAATATATTATTTCGATGTCTTATTTCAAACTCACTCAAATTGTGTGCGTGTGTACATTAAATGACACAAGGCCATGTAAATCACTCATGCGGAACGCATCCATGCGCATCACATTACACACGCACACACAACCAGCGGCGGGCAGAAAAATCAGCTTTCTATTAAAGATTAATTTTTATTACTCCTTTCCCCTTTTACATTGCTTACAAAATGGGCGCAGAAGACGAGGTCTCATTCGTTGTCTACAGGAAGTAAAGTATAGTAATAAAAAAAACTTTTAAGGTACCTAAAAACAATCGACTGGGTCTAAAAATATTGGTTCTAGGAGACAAAGGGAGCCCACCCACAACTACAATACTATCATTTAATGATATGAATAAATACAATTTTCAAAAGATACATATGGAAAAAGGATACAATTATAATTTTTGTGGATAAAATGTGTATTTTCTTACCGTGTACATATATGTACTGTACATATTACTGGCAGTAGATACCAAATGTAAATACATAATGTTACAGTGGTGAGAGAACAAATATTCGTGCACATACATATTTTTTAATTTATTGCATTTCCAACTAATGAATAAACATACTTTTTATATAATTAACTGTACACGGAAGTATAATAACTAAATATGCAAAGAATAACTGATTTAATAGAAATAAATCCCTTTTATTCATCGGTGAAAAAAGTATTCGTACAATACAAAAAAGAATACATAATCTTCATTTAATACTTTGTAGAATAGCCATTATGCACTTCTACAACAACCAACCTCTTCTTGTAGTTCTCAATTAATGATTTGCAAATTTTAGTTGGTATTTTGTTCCATTCTTCTTCGCATACGGTCTTCAGATCCAGGATGTTTGTTGGAGCTCTCAGTTGGATATGAATTTTCAAATAACGCCATAGAGTTTCGATTGTGTTTAAATCTGGGGACTGGCTTGGCCATTTCAGGATATTTGCATTATTTTCAGTAAGTCATTTCTTCGTAGATTTTGCAGTGTGCTTAGGATCATTATCTTGTTGGAAGATCTAATCAGGAGGAAGTTCAAGATTTTTAACCGAAATCATTAAATTTTCTTCCGAAATATTTTGATATGCTGTGGCATTTATTCTACCATCTGTTACTGATATGTTGCCAGTACCTTTTACAGAAAAAAACATCCCACCACCAAATTTCACTGTTGGAATTGTGTTTGTTTTTTGGGGGGTTTTTTGTTTGTTTGAAGGTATCGCCATCTTTCCTCCATACATGATATCGAGAATTACGTCCAAACAACCCCAATTTGGTTTCATCTGTCCATTATACTCTTTCCTAATAAATTTTTTTTCTTTGTCCTTGTTCACGAACGAATTTCAACCGGGCATCTTTGTGTCTCTTCAATAGCAGGGTAGTTTTCCGAGGGGCGTGTAACTTAAGATTGTTCCTATAAATTTCATTGATTAGTGTCCGTTTTCGTGACACAAATTTTTGATGAAAGCAAATCATCCTGCAACTCTTGGCAAGTAACCATTGGATTTTGTTAAATTCTACAAATTAATTTCATTGAAGATCTTGAAGAAATCTTCCATGGAGCACCTGTTTTTCTTTTGTTTTCAAAAGTTTTAAGTGTTTTATACCTTGCAATAAATTAACTAATGGTAGTAAATGGAATATTCAGGTTGTCAGAGATTTTCCTGTAACTTTTACCTTCTTTCCAGTGTTTAACAATCTGTTCTTTCTGCGAATTTATCAATTCTTTAACTCTTGTCATGATGATAACCTTCTTGCACAAATATCAATTACAGAATGTTCTGTTTTTATTTTTGGGCTAAAAATAACTACTGATAACATTATTAGAACATTCTAGAATATTCCACTTGAATAATCTAGAGTATTAAACCAATTTAAGTTTAAAAATCTGAAATTTGCATTGTACGAATACTTTTTGAACACATTAAAATGAATAAATGGAATTTATTTCTATTAAATCAAATTTTTTGTCTTTTATGCATATTTAGTTATTATACATCTGCATACACTTAATTATATGAAAAGAATGTTTATTCATTAGTTGGAAATACAATAAATTAAAATTTTCTGTATACGAATATTTGTCTCCTCCCCTCCCCCACACTGTATAATTGATTTTTAATTTTATTTTAAGTAATTAGTTGATATTTTAAAATTAGTTTACAACACAATTTACACATCCACAGATAGTTCAAAAACACAATAGATCATTGCAGGCAGTATGCCCAAACGGTCACCCATGTAGGTACTGACTAGGCTCGGTGTTGCTTAACATCGGTGATCATACGGAAACCGGTGTTTCAACGGATATAGACGTAAACCTCATTGGACTTGAGTAACTGATTGTGTGCAGATGACTTATAAAGTTCTTATTCCTTTTTATTATTAAAATAGTTGTCTGTGTTTCTTCATTGTTTTTTTTTTTATTTGATATTGAGGGCCTACTCCATCAGGGACCCATTTGCCATCGGGCAAACTGATACCAGGTCAGTCCACCATTGCCTAAAAACACTGTTGACATTTAAGCCAAATGATGAATATCTGACAACAAATCCTGAATCTTATACAATTGATACATTCATTTTATGCCTAAAAACTTTCTTTAAAGTGAGTAAAACAATTATATGTACATAGATATATAAAACCGTTTTATAATAAAACAAAAAAGAAATCAAATAAAATCGTTTTAAAACAAAAAATAGATATATAAAATCGTTGTGAATAGTGCATTCAGTACTAAAATAGCGATCAGTTTAATGCGTACTTTTTCTGCATGATAATGACTTTATTACGATTCCGTTTTGCTGTGTGATAATGACAGCCGCAAAAATGAAGTCACTTTAGTTGAATCAGTAAATAATGGCGACTTCATTGCACACTGTCAATTAACCTGATATCTCGCATACAGATTAAATTTTTTCAAACAAATTAGACAACTAAGAACTCCAATCAAGATTAAGAATTCTATAAATTTATTGGCTTTCGAATTACCTGCTCTCAAAAGAGAATATAGAAAGATGGCAATGTTTTGATTGAATAAATATTTTTTCTCTGACATTTTCAGATTTATTTTGTTCTTCGTATTGCACGATTTAATAATAAGAAAAAAATAATTTAAAAAATACGTCACAAACGATTTTCTTTCAGTTAATTAAGTGTATTTCTCAGTCTTCACATAATCAGCTCACAGAGATATAACTTTGATTTTACGTCAAACTAGCTCTGTTGAATGCTTATAAAATCCTCCAATGCTGTTATCACATATTTGAAAAGTCGATTTTTATTTAACCATAAACGCTAAGAAAAATTAGAACGTTTCTTGATATCTTAAAAACACGCTCTCTAAACTTAGCCTCATCCTTAACTAACTTTTTATTTAGTAATACTTTTAAGATTATGTTTTATTTTTACACTGCGCCGATAGACGCTATCTTCCGAAAATATCTAACTTCTTTTACCATATATTCTATTTTTTTTCTTCTCTTTCTGATTTTAGCAAGGCTCTTTTGGGCATTGTCTATTAAGTAGCCGAAATCCAAAAATATATGCAACATCTTGGGTTATTCGTTAAAATAAAATTCGATGTGAGATCTCCACGACAAAACTAATCTTTGTGTGAGAAATCTGTTAAACAAACACGTCTTCCGCGTCTGTGGGTCGTTATCGCGTATCTCAACTCACTACTACGTTAGTTATCTGAGCGTTTCGTTTCGGCATCTATCTGTTCGTTTCGCTTTATCCGGACAAAGCGGGCTTTATGTCGTTCAAGGCTTACCGAATCAAATAGCACATTGTCCAAGGCAAAAGAGGCCTGATGGGAGAAGAAGAAAAAAATCGAAAAAACGCAGTTTTTCATTTTCGGAAAAAGCTGCCAAGAAAAAAAAATGTCACATTTATAAACTATGGAACAGCAGTTTCAAATAAAATCTGTTGTAAACAACCACCACAGTCACTCTTTTCTTTTTTCCTTTCTCTCTCTGTGTGTGTACTATGTCTTTTCTGAAAACGGGCAATAACGGTTCTCCACAGCTTCTTGCCTGTTATAGCATTTGCTCGTTTACAATCACTCTTTACCTTTGTTGTACTTGTTCCATCATTCAGTATATATAGCTCTCCACAGCATCCTTTCTTTTGTTAGTGTCTTCAATACGTGTTTCTTTGGCTTTTGCCTGTCTTTATATTGTTCTTCCATCCATTTTCTCAAAACTTGTAAAATAGGTTCTATCTCTCTACCACTTGTCTTTCTTTATGTGACATATCCCAGCAGGAAGTGGATGATCATGGTTCTACACAGCTTCCTACCTTTCGTTGTTCTCAAGAACAATTGTTCCTTTATGAATCTTGCCTGTACTTATGGTACTTGTTCCGCCATCCATTTCTTCAAAACTTGTAAATAGTCTCTCTCTCTCTCTCTCTCTCTCTCTCTCTCGCCCTCCTCTCTCTCTCTCTCCCTCCTCTCTCTCTCTCTCCCTCCTCTCTCTCTCTGCGCTCTTCAGGACGTGGATGATCATGGGGCTCCACAGCTTCCAGTTTTTTGTTTCCCTCATCAGTACTTTATGACTCTTGTCTGTCTTTATGGTACATGTCCTCCCCATCCATTTCCTCAAAACTTCTACAGTAGGCTCTCTCTCTCTCCATCTCCTCTCTCTCTCCCTCTGTCTCACGCTCTCTCTCCCTCTATCTCATACTCTCTCTCTCTCTTTCTTTCTCCCCCTCACTCCCTCTATCTCTCTCTTTCTATGTGCTATGTCCCTTCAGGACATGGATTATCATGGTACTCCACAGCTTCCTGACTTTTTGGTTCTCATCAGTACTTCATGACTTTTGCCTGTCTTTGTGTCACTTGTGTGTCTCCCCTTCCCCAATCCATCTTTTCAAACTTACCAAGTAGATGACTCTCATTGCTTTCTTTCCGATTTTCTTGTCTTTTCTCATTGTATATTTCAATGAATATTTTTGCAAATATTTGTTTATATATTCTTTTCTATTCCTGTACAAGAAAATGCAGATCAAAACTCGAATGGAAGTTTTAACTATTGTACATTGACTCATCTTAGCTGCTGTCCATAACGTTTCAACTGCTGTACGCTCCGGCCTTCTTCATAAATGTTCTCCAAATTAAGCACCTGAAGAAGGTACATTAACTGAAACATTGTGACTATAAAAAGCAAGGTGAGATCACTAGTTCAAATAAATCAGTGCATAACAATAACACTTCATCTAAACAATTTAGTGAGAAAATATGAAATAACTTTCCAAAGATTTTCAATATTTCAGCGATGCACTTTGCTATTATTTAAATCTGAAATCTTAAAGGTTAGAAACAAAAAAGTTTTTTTTTACCTCAAAATATTAATAATCCCAACTCGTCTATTTGATTTGAAACTCAAAAGTACATATATACATATATGGGTAAATAGCAGGTCCTACAGCCTTGGGTGGCAACCGGTCTAGGAGAAGGAAAACTTTGAATTCAAAAGGAGGATCGATAGGTGAAGTTGTTGCATACTTTGCACTAGTTCTCTATGTGGTCGATTCTGCACAAGCCCTTCACGCAATATAATTAAATGATGCGTGTGGTTAGTGTGGCTGTTCGGTTCTAAGAACTGAGCTGCTGATCCTTCATAGGTCGAAAGCAACGGGAGAGACCTCTCTCTCTCTCTCTCTCTCTCTCTCTCTCTCTCTCCCTCTCTCTCTCTCCCCTATCTCTCTCGCACTCTCTCTCCCTCTGTCCCCTGCTCTCTCTCTCTATCTTCCCCCTCTTTTCTCTCTCTGGCATTATATATATATATATATATATATATATATATATATATATAATGCCATTTCACTTCAGCATGTAAGCAGTCATAGTTCTCCACAGTTTCCTGTGATTTTTCCTTTGTTATATTTGTCGCTTCTTCCATTTGCTTAAACTCACCAGGAGAATGCGGCGAGGATACTACATTGCTCTAAATGGGCCACTTTCTTCTGCTTCTCTTGCTTTCGCTGTATCCTGTGTGTGTTAAATTCTCCAAGCCTTCTTTCCTGAAATGTCCCCCCAAGGTTTCAGCTGTCTCTTTCTGTCTGCAAACAAGTTTCATTTTAGGTCTTATTCTCCTTAAAATCTCCTCATTTTCACATGTTCTGTCCATGATATTCTTATTATTCACAAGTAGAGCCACATCTCAATCACTTCAAATCTTTTTGCTATTTGTGACTAAATTTTTTTATATTGGTACGGCTACACCTGCGTAGGAACGAGGGGTACAAAGTCATCGTCAACAAATTTGATCCCTGTCTCTTATATTTCGCCATTCATGGCAGATCTTCATTGTTACAGCCTGGGATATCTACTAACAATGTAATGGAAAAAAAATAAAAAGAATCTAAATCGGCGAGATAAAAAAAAAATGCAAAAAGTTTCTAAAATACCCATAACCCCTCGTTCGTACGCATGCGTAGTCGCACCAACATAACAAATTTGATCCGATGAAGCCCCGAAAGGAAAACGCTTGACAAGAAAATTTTTTCCACTTTGTCATACATTTTCACAATATTGTTCTTGATATACAAGGATATATATATATATATATATATATATATATATATATATATATACAGAAAGAAAAAAAAATAAAGAAAGAATTTGGAAAATTTGTAAACTGTTCCCATTTATATCAGTACTACTGCTACTGAAATTGCATAAGAATTACTTGGATATATATATATAATCAAATGAATAAATATAAGTAAATGTACAAGCAAGAGTTCGTATACAATATATATATATATATATATATATATATATATATATATATATATATATATATATATATATATATATATATAAGTGTAAGAAAAAGCAGTGTTTAATTTTAAATAACTGAGCTATTAAATTTTTTTTATCATCCCAATCAAGGCGGTAGTACCAGTAGTACGCTAGGGGTTACAGAGAGTGTACGCAAGTGTAAAGAGGGTATTTGAAGAAAGGGTAAAGAGAAGGACAGGGATCAAGGTCAAGGCATCCGAAAATGTCATTTGGCATTACGTTTGAATATTTGATGATTATAGCTATCAGTGAAGCAAGTGATAGGAAGGGAGTTCCACCGTCGGGAAGTGCGAGATGAGAAACTGTTAGAGTAGAAGAGACGGCTACATTTAACCGTTTCGACAGTGAAAGGATGGGACCGAGATAGCAATCTAGTAGCACGCTTAAATTCATGTAGTTTGGGTACCAGTGAAAGTAGCTCGTCAGAGCAGTTGCCATGAATTTTTTTTTTAAAAATTACATAATACCCTACATTGATAGCACAACTCCGAGAGTATATATATATATATATATATATATATATATATATATATATATATTTTATAGTTTTAGGTCCGCTTATTTTAATACGATTTTTTAAACTATTAATCACCGCTTATTTTAAATATAAAATATAAATCCAGTGTATTGTAGGTACATATTTTTTAAAACAAGGTAACCCCGAATAATATATGGACTGCACCAGCATTGCGTTAACCAGATAATTATTAATATATTACTTAATAGTTCTGTTTTATTAACACCAGCACTCAATACTTAAATTCATCTATATATATATATGTGTGTGTGTGTTTGTGTGTGTGTGCGTGCATGCGTGCGCGCAAGAGTGTGTGATCAATTTTATTTTATCGCTTATTTACGATGTATTCGGGAAAGTAATTTTAAAATTATTTTTAAATGTAATATCGTCTAATGTATTTTTTAGTAATTATGATATCTGAGAGAAAAAACTTTAGCTATTTTGAATATCTCAATAAACAATTGCGTCACTTGATATACTTCGACAACCAATTAAAGGAACCCATACTGTGCTTACGTGAGCAAACACTCTCTCAAGGGGTTATTCAACCGGAAGTGAGACGCCACTGAGTGAGTTTTTGAACTGTTTGATCGTTGAGGTCACAATGACAATACCCCTAGTTTTGTTCGAAATTTGTACATGTGTCTGCAGAAAGGATTTCCATGGATGATTCAATGAAAGAAGATCAGATAAACTTTTGGTACCAATATGTCAAACTTGGCTGTAAATCCATTAAAAGTGATTCATGCTCTGGAAGACCTTCAACAAGCAGAAGAATGGAAAATTTTGAATGCATGCAGTTCTGCACTCAAAAGGAATTGGCAATTGTCAGTATGAAAATATCTGGGACACCATAGACTTTCCAGAAAGTATCCAACCATTTTGAATATATCAACTACCAATTCTTCATATCTCTTTTGAAGATTTTGAAAAAACATCACATCATCCACGTCGGTCAGCCCCACCGACAGCCCAGATTTGGCTCCATGTAACTTATAGCTCCTCCTAAAGTAATACATATATATATATATATATATATATATATATATATAGAGAGAGAGAGAGAGAGAGAGGGGGAGAGAGGGGGAGAGAGAGAGAATTAATGGAAGTAAAAGGTTTGTCACTTAACTGATTGATGTTATCTTCAACATCTCAACTCCAGAGTTTTCTAGACAGACTCTCCGGGAATCACTCCGTCCACTCATCAGGAGGTATCAGCAATTGATTGTTTATACTTCTTGATCTTTCTTTTTAATATGAAATTTTCGTTGGTACAAGTTTTATTTTCATAGTGTATGTGAGTGTGCGTGCGTATGTGTGTGTATGCGTGTGTATGCACGTGCACGTGCGCCAACGCGCCCGTCTTGGCGTATGTGCGTACGTGCAGAATGTCGTGGTTATTTGTCTTTGTCGGTTTTTTGGGGTTTTTTTTTTTTTTTCACTTTACACTCACTCCTTAACCTTTTCTCTTTTACCTCCTTTCTTTCAATTGTTGCCATTTGACTTCCGGGTTTTCTAGACAGGCTGTCGTTAATTCTTGAGCGTTTAGTGTTTTCTTGAACTCGGAAAATTGTATTTCCTTTTTTACATGAATAATTAATTTTAATATTTAAATAATAAAGTAAATATTTATATATGTCTTCACTTGGCTATTATTTCGTATTCTTATCTGATTTGGTGGTATAAATTGTAGGAGGTTAGGTTTATAATTAAATTTTTATTCATTATTTTTCGAATTTGTATGCATATGCTTACATTCATACGACTACGCACACAGACATACATATACATGTATATAGATATACGCACATGCACATACAGACACATATATGTATATAAACACGCGCAAACAAACATATGCCCATGTGTGTTTGTGCTTTGTTATTAATAGGACAGCCAGTAAACTCATCATATATAATACATTAGTTGAATTTTTGAATTTTGATCAGAAATTTTCACTGTGTAATGTTTAGTCGATAAATTTAACATAGGTACCCGAAATGTGTCAAAAGAATAGTTTTTTGACATCGCTATTACTATATACTACCCAGACAATTTTTATTACTTTTAAAAACTATTTTATAGAATTTTAATAAAACCCAAACATATGAAGCTGGATTTTTTTATCATTTCCCTCAAGAAAGGCAATAAAGTCACTATGATGTAAATGATTACTAAGTGTGAGAGAAGATGAATAAAAGAAAAGACTGTTAAGGAGAAATAAATTGCCGCGAGATTATAGCGGTATCAAGAGAAAAACTGTCTTTTTGACACACCGGTTTTTTTTGGGGGGGGTACTTTGTGGGGGGGTCTTTTTTTGTTGTTGTTTTTTTTTTTACGGGTCCGTTTGCTAAAGATTGCTGCATGGTTTATATATTTAATAATCACCACTAAATGACAAAGAAAATATTGTTAAAAAAAATACTCTCCTGTAGGGTTACTCAGTTTGCAGTAGCTCTAGAGTGGACTTGCATAGTGTGTGATGACTGCTTTTACAATAAAAGTTAAAATTCAACTGATTTCAGTTTTCAGGGATGATTCAATGAAGGAAGACCAGATATGGTTTTGGTTCCAATGCGTCAAACTTGACTGGGTATTCGTAAAGACATCATACATATTCTGGAAGACCTTCGACAAACAGAAGAATTGGAAATGTCGAATGCAATCGAAGGAAATCAGTAAATGACAGTGCGAGAATTAGTTCATCATCACCTTTTGATTCTGGGTTCCAACTTTCAAATCCCTTTACCTCAGTAAGAAGGCCTGATCCGGGGCTGCAAATAACGTTGATCCAGAGAAGGAGGGAAAATTACTCATCCTGCGAACACCCTCGTCCTTGACATCGACGCCCACGTCCTTGACACCTTGATTCAAAATGCGTTTAGCCTTGTGTGTAAGCCGTGTATCTTCTTAAGAATGTTCACCTTTTATTAAAAATTCTAAGCACTTGGGAAAATTTCACTGATTTCCTATTTAATTTATCAACGACTATAAAATAAGCATGGAAATTCCACGATAGTATCGCTAAATATTTGAGCTTAGCTTTAAAGCAAATATTATTTCAAGCCAAGCACGCCGCCATATTCCTGATCAGATAGAAATTGTGGCTGTATTTCCTTCCTTTTTTATGGAAGAGCGTACACTGCTGGTGACCCGGAAGTCACCCGGAATTGGGGAATAAATTGCCAAGAAGAGTCGCATGGTGTGTAGTTTGGAAGATGGAAAAAAAAAACTGTAGCTGACGGAAGATACACAAGTCGATACCCGATCAGTATCGGCTGGGTCACTGTGGAGATGGGGTATGATGTTGAAAGACCCGAAACCCCTAATGAACCTCGGCTTGAAACATCACTGATGATGTGTAATAAAACATCCAAAAGATGTATTTTACGAAACAATAAGAATCACAGTTATGAACGAATGTCATTATTTAAAGAAGGCATTAGGTTGTCACACATGAAATGACGAATTTTATGATTGATTTTTAATCCGGTCGTCTAACAAAGTAACCTCCTTAGAATATAGAAAATCTTGACTTATTCCTGATTCTTTTTCTTTCCAGATAATTTTTCTTTCAATTCATTGTTACTCATAAGCCCAATGAAAAGGATTACAACGAAAAAAATGTTGAGTAATCTTATTGTATGAATACAAACTGGGAAAAACAACCATTTCAGCATCGAATCATTACATGCGATGTTGAAATGGATACTCTTTGACAACAGTAAGAGTGTAGGCCAGTAGCTAGATGCAAATGAATCACCAAAACAATACCTAAAACCTCCACTCAAAAAAAAAATAGGTTGATTTATTTCATAAGTTGAGGTTTTGGAAGACATGTGCAAACGCTATACGTTGGAAAGAGAGCTTGGAAAAATTGCTACTCACAGGACAGATTGAAGGCAAGAGGAACAGAAGAAAATAACTCATGGCCTACCTAGCGAGTTTGAATAAAATGTTTAGGGGAGATGAGAAAAAGACAAAAATTGTTAAGAGCTACAAAGGACAGGAAATTGTGGAGAGCTATGATCGCAAATGTCTTGAAGGAAGACGGCAGATAGAAGAAATCATTTATTATTCAAACTTACTTAAGTGTATAAGTGATCATATAATTATACCTTGAGTTAGAATACGAATGTATATGGAAATTTGTTAGCAAATGTGTATAACTTAACAATATATTCATGTGTCTGTGTATACAAACGCTCTTGTCTCGATGTTTAAAAAGTTGTTGATTATATCTAATGACACTCATTTTAACATCTGATTTGATTTAAGCTGATTTTTTCTCAACCGCTTAGAACTTTTATTCGTTTACGCTCTAAATCAACGTTTGAATTTTTTTTGTCTGTGCGCATGCGTGTACATCTGCTGTTAATTTGGAAAAGTTGATTATTTTTCAAAGTTGTGCTTCGATATACGTCCATTTCTTTTTGTCGTCATTATGTATTGATTGCTATTCTAAAAGTTCATCCATTTTGATGATTTTTTTTCAAATATCAGAATGTTTTGATTATTAAATTTGATGATTAACTTTATCTGTAAGTTATGCTGATATCAAGCCTACTTTTTTAAAATTTATTTTAGCTTTGTAGAAGTGTGTGCGTTTTTGTCAGTTTTGTTTTTTAAATTCTATGGCCAATTTTATAATCGTCTTTTGTGAATATTTGCTTCGAAAATGATTTGTTAAGCTTGCTTTAGTAAATTGCATTTGTAAATAACGAACGTCTCTTCGTAGGCCGATATAGTCAAATGAACAAAGTACTTCTGACAAATACAAAGGATTAGAGAACAAGTTCTCGTCTTCTTTTCCTGCTATGTGCCGTGTCCTTTTACCATTTTATAAATAACTAAAAACATGTTTTTATTCATAATTTCATAAAAATATCAATGAACAATAGAACAAGAAAATTTGAATAAACGTAATATTATCTATTTCGCTTTTTAAAACAATAACCATTACCAAGGAAGTCAAAAGTGTATATAGTAATAGCGGTATTAAAGGAATAACCGACCTTTCGAAACACCATTTATTGCCGGTACAAAGGTTAAATATTACCAGCTGGTAAATAGTTACCTATGGTGAAACACGGTGACATTCAAGTATAAGGCATTTTCTTTCCTTTGTCAGTATTTCCACTTGCTTATTATTACCAGTGTGTAATAACTTACTAGGGTAATCACTTCCCCACCCCCTAATGTAGTTTCCCTGTGCCTTTTCTGTAAATACTTTCATGGTAATTGTTCTGATGACCTTTCTTCTTTGGTACCGCGACTTTATGAATTTAAGCGCAGTACTAGATTGGCATTTAGGTCTCACCATTGTATTCTAATAGTTTCTTCTGTCGTACTTCTCAACTGTGGAACTCAAATGCAACGTTAATCGTCACCTTCTATTTATTTAATCCATTTTTTTTTGTCCTCTCTATCCTTAATACTGATTTTTCTTAGATCATTTCCCTCTAAGTAGCTCTTAGTAGCTTTATCGCCTTACTTTGAATGATTAAAAAACATAACAAAATAATATGGGCAACTTATTTTTAATACCTTCTGTCATGACTGTCTCATTTTTTTTTTCAATCATTTCACCCTAAGCAAGATGATAAGACGCAAGAGATTACTCGGAGTGAAAAGGACTTTAGTGAGGAGAAAGGACAATAAAAGAAACAGTAATTGATGTTACACTTAAATTTTTAAAGATCGTAGATGACAAGAAGAAAGAAACCGGAAGCAGTAGTATGCAGAATGGGGGAGGGGGCAGAGGGTGCGACGGCCCCGGGCATCCGTATCGAAAGTACATCCAATCAAAGAGTGAAATAAAAATAATTTAGTTTATATTTATTTTGAATAAAGTATTCATTCCGTGTTTCATCTGTTTTATATATTTAAAATGTCTTCCTTTCTTACATTTCTCAGTATTAAGCCCTAAAGGCGTCCTGAATCTTAGGGGTATACAATCAGGGAGTTGGCCCCGAGCATCACCAAATATCACCAAACCTCTGCACCGGAAGAGAGTTCCACATTCAGGAAGTGCGAAAAAAGTTATTAGAATACAACTTACGGTTACATCTGGCTGTTTATATAATAAAACGATGAAACCTAGTTGTCAATCTAAGAATACGTTTAAATTTACGCGATCGAGGTACCAAGATCGTAGATGACAAGAAGAAAGAAACCGGAAGCAGTTGTATGCAGAAGTGGGGGCGGGGGTGAGCAGAGGGTGCGACGGCCCCGGGCATCCGTATCGAAAGTGAATCCAATCAAATAGTGAAATTAGTTAATTAGAACTCTTATATGCCATCCATCGCAAAAGATGCAGGTAAAATGATCGGCTCCATGGAACCTTCATGGCTAGGACACACCTTGCCACTTACCTATTAGAAAACCACCCACATCCCCACCGTATTCCATCGGCAAGAAATAAGTTCTACTCAAACAGCTTCTTTCCACTACACACTACCCCGTGGAACAGACTCACAAGAGGATGTTTCCCCGATCATTATAATCTTAACCTGTTCAAGTCTAGATTTAACTGTTATCTTCCCCTCCTATCCATATAAACTACCTATTAATGTAACCCTCTACCTCGAGTGGTCACTGGGCTTTGCACAAGGTGAACTTACTGGAAAAAAGAATAATTGCCGTGAAAATATTTAAATGTGGCATTGGAAATGTGACATGGTGTACTATTGTCTCTTCATTCTTTCTTTTTCACTGAACGAAATATTCTTGAGCGGTATATTCTTTTTCCCTCATCAAAACTAATGGCCTCCCTTTTCGTAACCTAAACATTAAGCCATCGTTGGACTAGTGGACAAAAAAAAAAAAAAAAAAAAAGAAACAAAAAGAACTGAGTCTTAAAACCAGACACACCCTGGTAAACTTTTCATTGAAATGTCAAGTTTAGCTTTTTTTATATTGCTTTTCCAGATTTTCGCCTTTGGTGGATTCTTTTTCAACAAATGCGGCGACGGAGAGTGGTTAAATAAAACCGAATCAGTAAAAAAAGATCTTATGATTTAATTATTTTGCGTTAATTAATGATGCAAGTTATCTTCTTCCTTTTTGAAAATGCATGTCGCGAGCTAAATTATGATGCAAATCGATTGTTCAACGATACAAATATACTGTAAATTATTTATTATGAAAAGCAAAAAAGGGCACATCATAGTACAATTTTTGCTAGCGCAATGCTGTTTGAATTATCTAACTTAGGGAATAAAGCAATTTCTATCTCAGTCTGACTAGTTCTTCGAGCAATTTTAATTAGTGAAATATAACATGAGAAAATAGGTCTATTCAAAAGGGATAACCCTATGTCTATTAGCTGTTAATAAGAAAATCAAAGGAATAAGCAGGAATAAGCTCCTAGACCTGTCTGCACCCCTATATGAAAGCCATAAAAGAATTCTATTAATTATATTTTAATTAATGATAATAATTAAGATTAGTGATAACTAGCATTTGGAAATAATTATAATATAAATTCTATGAATAATAAATGTCTTTACGTCGAGTAGAGGCCGCCAAAGGCGGCATTTAAACGAGTTCTTTATCAAACATTTACTAGCTAAAGAGCAAAGTGTTGGATTCAGAATCACAGCCATGTTCTGTTGATAGAAAGATAAAATAATTTCCGCCGAAGGCCATACCGAATACCATGACTACCTAAAAATAAAACAATTTTCTGTTTCTTTCTTTGTAAGCTTTTTAGTAAATCTTAGTCTGGTATGAGGAGATAATAATGAGACACTTAGTGAGGATCTAAATCTCTAACAAGAACCTGTGAGACGAACTATCTAACAATGTCATACTACCCTCTTGCAATTTAAAGCTTACA